TGTCGAAGCATTGCTCGGCTCTGAGTGACCCTTGAGATTACGACCCCCCCCTCCCCAGCGGCCAAGTACGACCCCCCTATGGGTTTCGCACAACGATGCTGTACCCTGGGTTCACCTTCATTGCAGTTCGTTCGTTGATGTAAGGTAACACTAGTGGTATTCCTCCATCAACAAAGAAGGGACGCCATGTTCTCGGGTGGCAACTCGTATAGCCGTTCTCCTCCAAGATTCTTGTTATTTTCCGATCTATCTCTTCCTGATTCCACTGTGCAGGTCCTTGACTTCGTTGTGATAAGGTTTCTTATCACATTCGCTTTCATGTACAAGGGATGTGCACTTCGGGAATGCAAAAGGATATTTTTCGACATTGGTTTCTTGTACCAAACAAGTTCTTTCGTACCATGGGTTATCCTGATCTTTGTATTGAGGAACGGAATAAAGCCGCTTTCATCTGGATACTCCACCGTGAAATGGATGTTGAGGATCACACGAGTTCAAATTATGAAGCATTTGTGCATCACATCGGTGGTACACAAAACGTCTCTCCCGACGCACCCCACCGTTCCAACTTATGCTCTGGTCAAAACGCACAAGTTTCCTGAAGACTCCGATTTACGTGACATCGATGAAAACTTGATAAAAACAAGACCAATCATATCTTCCTGCGGAGGTCCGTCGGACAGGATCAGCTGGTTCCTTACGAAAATTCTCTCACCACTACTTCATCACATAGCTGCTCACTTAGTGAATGTGAGAGAATTCATATCTGCTCTTGATCGATGTGAAATACCGGATGAAGCAGCATATGCAAGTTTCGACGCGGTTTCATTGTACACCAATGTGGATAACAACGAGGCTGTAAATTCTGTGATAACTGCTACGACAACATCAACAAGAAGTACATACATTCGGATTGATGGAGGAAGATCTGCGAGAGCTCTTAATAGGCCACTTTGAAGTGCAACATCTTCCAGTTCAATGGCATGTTCTTTTCACAGAAGAGAGGTCTGGCCATGGGATTGAGGATATCCCCGCTGCTAGCTATCGTCTACCTGGACCGTATCGAAAGAAGATCATTGATCTCAGGAATCATATTCTACAAGCGATACATAGACGATGTCTTCGTCATTGGCTCCACCGCCGAGGTGATGCACACAATGCTTCATAATTTGAACTCGTGTGATCCCAACATCCATTTCACGGTGGAGTATCCAGATGAAAGCGGCTTTATTCCGTTCCTCAATACAAAGATCAGGATAACCCATGGTACGAAAGAACTTGTTTGGTACAAGAAACCAATGTCGAAAAACATCCTTTTGCATTCCCGAAGTGCACATCCCTTGTACATGAAAGCGAATGTGATAAGAAACCTTATCACAACGAAGTCAAGGACCTGCACAGTGGAATCAGAAGAGACAAATCGGAAAATAACTAGAATCTTGGAGGAGAACGGCTATACGAGTTGCCACCCGAGAACATGGCGTCCCTTCTTTGTTGATGGAGGAATACCACTAGTGTTACCTTACATCAACGAACGAACTGCAAAGAAGGTGAACCATATCGTCAAGTCGTCTCATCTCCCAGCAAAACTGGTCCGACCACCTGCTAATTTGAAGAGCTTGCTGACATCATCGCGGATTTATGAAGAAAAATGTGGCCGAAATAACTGTACGTACTGCATCGATACTAAGATCTGCCAGTTACGAGGAACAGTCTATTTGGTCACATGCGAAGGATGCGGTCAGAAATACGTTGGTGAATCAATACGGCCCTTTATAAGCGAATGGACGAGCATGTGCGAGCGCTGCGGAATCCCCCTTCCTACCCCAGGAGTGCTTTTTCGCGGCATCTACACAGTCTAAGAAATGTCACGCACGTCGCATTCCGCGAGTGACTTTTAGTTGCATAGGGTGGTCCACTTGGGTAAGACGTTCACTAACTATAATTGGGTTTTAACATTGCCGTATACATTGTATTATAGTGATTGATACATTTACTGTGGACAAGTTAATCGTCCTGGTCAGTGTTTTTATATAAGTTAACAGATGTTAAGTATTGCTATGCTTATGCTTGATTTGATTGTTTAAGGTCTGACGAAGCTGTTAGTACAGCGAAAGCTCACCAATAAAGCATTTGAGCGAGTCCTCAATTTTTTCAAAAGAAGGTTTCAATCACATGAGGCTCAGGGATAGTTCAATTATATCATAACTGTTTTGTAGGCTTCAAAAGCTAAAACTGCACAGGCTTATTTGTTAAGTAGTTGGTCGAGAAGTTATGCCTGTCAGGAATACGCTGGATGTTCGAAGCGACTGAAAGATTTCAAGTTTGACGTCACAGCAGTGCATAGATCCTAATGTCCGATTGAGTCCAATGAGACCTTACCGAAT